TTCATTTTATATATATGGGCATATTGCCTGCATGTATGTAAGTGTACCCTTGTTGCACAATGCCCACAGAAATCTGAAGAGGGCAACAGATTCTCTGGAATTGGAGTTACAGATTGTGGTTAGCCACCATGTGGGTACTGGTATCAAACCCAGAAACTCTGCAAGAGCAGCCAGTGCTCTTAACCCCTGAGCTATCTCCTCAGTCCCCTATATTGTTTTCTTAAACAGGGAAGTTTCTGTACAAGTTTGTGGTTCTCTTTATACTTGCCTTCTACTTAGTTACACTGTCAGTGTTCCAATGTGTGTAAGTGGTCTTTACACTTTACTACTCATTAGTTGATTGCCAACGCAATTGCGTTTTCTTGTTCATCACCGTGAGTGACAGGAGGTGAAGTGGAAATTTTTTAACACCTAAGAAAATGGTAAATTATCTATCTTCATGGCTAATGAAACGTTAATCAACAATTCTAAAAGCTTCTGCACATTGCATTGACATTCACCAGTAGTCTCCTACATCATATAATTAAATACATATATATAACAAATACATGCATACATATATGATTTTAAAGCATTCAAATTTTAACATTTTTCATTTAGTTTCCTAGGAAGTAAGTAGATTTGAACCATTTTATTTGAACCTAGGTTTTCAGATATTATGCAGAACATAGTAACATTTTATTATTTTTGATTTGAAGTAACATTTATCCAGTGATTGGAGCCACATTTAACAGCCATAAACATATTCATGTCACTGATCATCAAATGTAAATGGTTAACAAACTGGAAATTATTATACAAACTACCTTAACATAGAAAGAATACTTCCATCTGAGAAATGTGCACTTTGATCCAGCACCTCCAAGTGTGTTATTTTGAAAGTCACACATAAGTATTGAGATTATTGGAAGCACGAAATTTAGACAGAAAAAATGTTTAGGGAAAGCCTTAACTAAGGACAAACTGCCATAGATATAATGGTATTTCATAGAATTTCTTAAATGCTTCTTTTATGTGTGACTTCTCAAGTTGAATTGAAATTGTTTAATTAAAAATTGTATTTATTTACATTTATTTTATGTGTATTAGTGTACAACATTCATGCAGTGTCTGCGGAGGTCAGAAAAGAGCATTGTGTTCCACTGAACTGGAGTTACAGACAGTTATGACCTGCCATGTGGCTGCTGGGAAGTGAACCCAGGTCCTTTGCTAGAGCAGCTTGTGTTCCTAACCACTGAGCCTTTTCTCCAACCCCAGACTATTTTATGACATTTAATCTTTAATTTTCATATCATTATGTTATCCTTCCTTGATTATTTGGTCTTGCTGCTTTTGTCTTTGGGCATAGATTTTTATCTTTTGTGGGTATTTTTTATTATCTGAAATATTCATTGTCTTTGTGGTACAACTTTAGAAATTTTTTAAATACTTTATTATTTTTAGTTTAGTGTATGAGTGTATATTGCCTGCATGTGTATAAGTACACCTTGGTCGTGCAATGCCCCTGGAGGTCAGAAGAAGTTGTTGGATTTCTGGGGAATGGAGTTACGGACAGTTGTTAGTTGCCATATGGGTGCTGGGAATCGAACCTGGGTCCTCTGCAAGAGTAGCCAGTGCTCTTAACCACTGAGCTATCACTTCAGCCCCACAGCTTTAATAAATCTGCAATTTGAAATTATGTAAAGATTTTTATATTAAGTTTCAGTTCCTGAATTACGGCTTCAGTCCCTGTTACATGGTTTCTATTTAACAAATAAACTACATTGACATTTATTACAATATACCATGGTTAAGTAATTTTATTCTTTTTTACAAGTTGTGCAACAATGTGACAGTAAAGCATATTGAAAATTAATCCTTCAGGGAGTGTTTTGTATGTGTGCAGGTGTGGGTGCAAAATATTTATTGCAAAATCATAATTATTTTTATGTATTAATTATTAATTTCAGTACAAAATTTACTTAATTTATGCTAGCTATCCAATACAATGCCAATATCACAATCTGCAATCTTATGGTGTATATATGCAGGGTTTTATATTTAAAATGATTGTTTTGCAACAATAATTGGACTTTGTTAAATTAAAATATTTCATTCTTGAATTACATTGGATTACATCATAATAGTATTCTTTCTCCTCTGTTTTATCACTATTTGATTTTGCTTGGTATAGATTAGAACATACATTTAGTTAACTTTTTATTAATCAAATTTATTCTTTGTTAATTTCATACATATATAAAAATACATTTTGATTATTAAACCCCACCCTCTTCCAAGTCCCTCCTGCTCTCATCAACTACCTTCCCACAAGGCCCTCCTCATCTTCATATATTTTCTTTTTGTTTTGAGGTCCGCCTAGTTTAACCATAGTCATCTATGTGACCATGAATTTGGAACTATCCAATGGACCCTCGCGGGCTCCTCAGCAGGTGTACACACAAAAACAACTCCCCTTTCCCAGAATCCATCAGTGGTCCAGAGTCCAGCAGTGCAGAGCAAGGATTCATGACTGACTGCATTTTTCCCAGTATAACTGCAACATCAGCTCCTATCTAACACAATTTATGGAATCTTGCCATTCATCACCATGAAATATTATATGCCTCCTGTCCTTGAATTTTAATGTTTTTTTAAAGGTCATAGGCATGATGGGGGAACTGAATACTGTTGTTCAGCTAAATTGCCATAGTATTAATCTGCCTTCTAAATGTGTTTATAACCCCACAATGGCTACTCTCAGCCTTAATCAGAGAAGCCTCTTTTTCCCATGAATGTTGGTGAATGCAGAGACCATGGCTGAAAAAGTTACTGACAATAAGTGACAGGTATGTGCTTAACCCTAAAGAAAACATTTATACTATTCTTTCTAAGGCTGGGAACACTGCGGAAGTACAGACAGAGAAAATGTAAGATCCTAAGATGGGGACAGGGCTGCAAACACCATCATTTGGGCTAGTCACAACTACTACAGTCATGATCTCTGAGCTATTAAGGATGCTTGCACTGGCTTTGGATCAAAAGCTAGGCATGGAGAGAAGAGGGGCTCAGGTGGGGCTACCCCTCTAGCTATTTGCTTAAGATACATTCAGGGAGAGTGGGAGTCATTGCCTTCACTTGTGTGCCCACTGGTGACCCCACCAGTCCCAATGGAGAGTTCCAATTCAGTAGTCACACGGATAGCCCTATAAAACTAATGGAAATCACAAAACAATCCAAAAGTCTTGAATCTGGAAATGGAGTGATAGAGAGGAGCAGATGAGGGTGAAAGAGATGGAAGGGAGATGAGAGAGGGTAAAGGGAGAGAGTAAACATGGTGCTTTACACGCGTATGGAATTCTCAAAAAAGCAAACTTTACTAAAAAAATCCTATAAACTGTGGTGATAAACTGCATCAGATGTTATGCTGTAAGTATTCTAAGGACAGGCTGAGAAGGGTGATGCAGCACCTGTGTCTTTTACTAGAATTCTGGGATATTTTACACTTCCAAGGCTGTACCCATTATGTAATATTTCAATGGTCGCAGTGTCACCACACTATTAGAAAGGCAAGCAATGCATTCCATTGGAAGAAACAGATTTGAACTAACCAACTACTCGCTCAACATCCAGACCCCACTGGTATTTCAGCTTGAAACTTTGGCAGATATAAACAACCCAGGGCTGAACTACCAAATAAGCACATTATAAATTATAGGCACACAGAAACCATGAGAGATAATAGAAGCAAGGCTTTATTTTAGGTCTCTGAGTTGTTAAATTAAAAAATATCTAGGGGCTGGACAGATGGTCCAGTGGTTAAGAACACTGGCTGCTCTTGCAGAGAATCTGGGTTTGGTTCCCTGCACCCACATGGTGACTAATAATCAACCATACCTCCAGTTACTGGGAATCTGATGCCTTCTTATGGCCTCTGTGAGGACTGTACATATGTAGTGCATCAACAGGCATTCATAAAATAAAAAATAAAAATTTAAAATATAGCTAAATATTCATAATATGAAATCTACAAATAAGGAAATGTTCTTAGTTGTAGCATAGAAACACATGTTCCATTGAAATAAAACTCAAAAGAATTCCTCCTTTCAGCAACTTCTGCTGAAAGTATTATATGGAAATGTAATAAATATTTGTTTTATTTTGTTGCCTACTTAGAATCTATTTTGTTACAGTGTTTCCCGAAAGAAGCCAATGAGAAAGAAATGCAAATTAACACTACATATTTAATAATTATAAAATTTAAAATACAACCAGTTAGAAATCATTCTCCAACAAGTTATCTGATATTTTTTCATGACAGAAAATTAATTCAGTAGTCAAAAGAATTTGCCTTTTTATTGACATATATCCAGTCAGCAGTTATAATGACACTTTGAAAGCAAAAAGTGCCTTATATAATTCCAAATCCCTAAAATGATATCTGACCATAATTTTAAAAAATACAAAAGCTTTCCTGGGTTTTCCTGGGTTGAGGTAAGGTCTCATGAGGTTTTGAGTGGCATTTCCCTGGCCAGTGAGAAAGATGATGAGTGCCTTTTATACACGACTTCTCTGGCAGTCCATTGTTTTACTTTTGAGAAATGTCTATTTATGTCATATCAATTATTTTATCAAGTTCTTTAGAATTTTGTGGTTTATTTTTTAAATTATTTATTTAATAACCACATACTTAGGAGAATCATTTCATTACATCAGCATTGACATATTCAATAACAATTTTCTGAGCTAAGATGCATCTCTTTCAAAATTGGCTGTAAATTTTTAGGTTTACATTTGAGTTATTACATTTATACAATATTGTACTCAGTATAAACCCTATAAGACATAAAATTAAATGAGGTTTTAACCTTTAAAAAAGATCTCCATTTCACTATTATAATACACAGTTACATACAGAAAAATTCATTTCTAATGCAATTGATATTAAGATGTTTACACATGCATTTTTAGTCTCTATATATCAGATTATTACTAGTCAAACTGACTGTTTTTTTTTTTTAAACGGGAGAGCGTGAACGCAGTCCCCCACTACCACAAATTTTGCAGTCGAGTTTCCCACATTTGGGGAAATCGCAGGGGTCAGCACATCTGGGGTTCAATGGATAAGCCTCTCCCTGGGAAAACCACCTTCGTGATCACGGTATCTCCCCTGCCAGATAATTTAAGTTTTTAACGTTTCTTATATACTCTAGATATCAACCCTTTGTCAGTTTCATAGTTTTAAAGTAGTACCTCCTATTGGTTACCTCTTCACTTTGATGGCCTTCACTTTACCACACAGAAGACTTTTTGGTCAATGTCATCCTAGTCGTTTTGTTTTTTTTTTTCCCCTTTGTTTCCTATGCTTTTAGATTCCTATACAAAAAGTTTTTTACCACCCCAATGCCTTGAACTATTTCAAAACTGTTTTCTCTAGTACTTTCATAGCTTCAGAACCTAAATTTTTAAGTCTTGAATCCATTTTGTGTTGTTTTTTGTCATTGTGGAGATATCATCCTTGTACATATGGAAGTGAACTCTTTAATTGCATCCATTGTTTAAGAGGCTGTCCTTTCTCCGTGTGTGTTTATGTCATCTTTGCCAAATATCAGTTTGCTACAGATGTGTGAGCTTGCTTCTAAACTCCTTTTCTGTTCAACTTCTCTATTTTTATACCCAAACCATAATCAATTCAATTTCCATAGATTAATGGTGTGTTTTGAAGTCAGATAGTATAATGCCTTTGGTTTTTCTGAATTATTTTTATTTTTTTTAAAGTCCTTTGACAATATCTTAGTTGTTGGGATAGGGATTTGATGGAATCTTTAGATCCTTTAAGTAGGGGGGAATATTTTAATGGCTTATTCGTCCAATCCAAGCATGTATCTTTATGCTCTGTGTTCTCTTCTTTCTTTCCTTCAATTTCTTGTACTTTGTATTACAAAGGCATTTATCCCCTTAGAGTACATTTTTCTTTTTCTTTCTTTCTTTCTTTCTTTCTTTCTTTCTTTCTTTCTTTCTTTCTTTCTTTCCTTCTTTCTCTCTCTCTCTTTCTTTTTTTCTCTCTTTCATACTTCTTTCTCTCTCTTTACTGTAGCTATTATAAATGGGTTGCTTTCTTGATTTCTATTTCAGGCACTGTATTATTGTTAAATAGAAAAAAATATTAATTTTTGCAAGTTAATTTTGTGCCCTAAAACTTTGATAAAAACATTAATTGTAACAGTAATTTTTAATTGAATCTGTGGTTTTCTATATGCAACATCATTTAATGTCAAAGCAGTGACTATTGGATTATGTTTCCTACTTGGACATGCTGAATTTCTCTATTTTTTTTCCTGGTTTCTGTAATACATCTAGTGCTAGGTTGAAAAAGAGTGTGAAAGTGGGCACCCTCATCTTCCTACAGATCTTACAAAATTTTCAGTTCTTTAAGTATGATGTAAAACGTGGGTTTTATGTGTAACTTTTGTTAAGATAAAATTTTCCATATATGACACTTTAAATTTTATTTATTATTTTTATTTTATATGTATGAATGTATTGCCTGCATGTATGTAAGTGCACCCATGCCATGCAACACCTATGGTGGTCAGAAGAGGGAGATGGATCCCCTGGAATTGGATGGTTTTTAGCTGCCATGTGAGTGCTGGGAAATGAACCTGCATCCTTGGCAAGAACAACTTATAAGCCATCTTTCTGGTGCCACCACACCCTGCCCCCACCTATGTGATTTTTCCAAAGTTTTTAATGATGAACTTTTATTGAGTTTGATCAAATTTATTTCATTAAATATATATCTTTATGTCTTTTATTTTATTGATGCAATTTACCACATGAACCATCTTTACACCTTTAGCAGGATTATCACTTGATCATGCTAAATATCATTGTGCTGTAAAATTATTTTGTAGGGCATTTTTGAAGATTATTGTATCTTTTCTACTCTTTTCTTTTTGAGACAGGGTCTCCCTGTCACCCCAGTTGGCTTGGAACTCACTATGGAGACCAAGCTGGCCTCGAACTCACAGAGATCCGCCTGCCTCTGCCTCCCAAATGTTGGGATTAAAGGTGTGCGCAACCACTGTGGCTTTACTGGTTTTCTTGTTTGTATTTTATTGTTTTAATGTATTTTTGACTTTGATATCCAATGATTTTGCCTCATAGAATAAGTTTAGAAGAATTTCTTAGTCTAATTTTGGGGAGGGTTAAATAATATAAATACTTGAATTCTTCATTTAATTTTCTTTGGTGAATGACAGTATTAGTTATTAGCTTATAATTTTTTTTCTTTTTGTTCACAATTCAAACGAATCTATTCATATTTTTCATGTTTTCCTATGTTATTATATACGACGGCGTATACATGCTCATAATAATCTGTAGTGATCTTATAAATTTATATGGTGTAGGGGCTGGAGAGATGGCTCAGTGGTTAAGAGCATTGACTGCTTTTGCAGAGGACCCAGGTTCGATTCCCAGCACTCACATAGCTGCAACAAACCGTCCTTAACTCCAGTTCCAGGGGAATCTGGAGTTCTCTTCTGATCTCCGTGGCATTGCACGACACAGGTGCACTCACATACATGCAGGCAATCCACTCATATACATAAAATAAAATAATAAATAAAATGTTTTTTTAATTACATGGTGTCAGTTTCCACATCAATTTTCATACCTGATTTTTATATATTCAAGTGTATTCCCATTTTTGTTTGTCAGTTTTGATAACAGTTGTCAATTTTGCTGATATTTTTAGAAATCCATCTCTTTGGGACTAAAGAGATGATTCAGCAGATAAGAACACTGGCTGCTCTTGCAGAGGACCTTGGTTCGATTCCTAGCACCCTCATGGAGGTTAACAAATGTCTGTAACTCCAGTCCCAGGTGAATCTGACACTTTATTCTGACCTCTATGGGCATTGCATGACATGGGTACACTTACATACATGTAGACAATACATTCACATACATAAGATAAAAATAATGCATAAAATATTTCAAAATAGAAATTTAGCTCTTTGTTTCATTGAACTTTTGTAGTTTTGGTCATTTTTACCATTCTGTTCTTTTTTATTCTGCTGATTTTGGATTCAGTTTGTTCTTGCTTTATTAGTTTCTTGGTGAAAAATAATAGATTGTTAATATGAAATATTTCTGCTTTTCAATATACTATAAACACCTTTTTAATATTACAATTGCATATCCTGTAATTTTTGGTATGTGGTATTTTTATTTATACAAAGGCTATTTTTTGTTTCTTGATTTGTTTCTTGATTTATTGCTTGTTGTAAGTTGCTGATTTATATATTTATACAGTTTCCAAAGTTTTTCCTGCAATACATTTCCAGTGGTACTCTATTATTGTCAGAAGTAAGATTTTAATAAAATTTCAATGTTTTTATATATGTACAGATATATTAGTTACTATGACATACTGTTTTTACTATTGACTCATGGCCTATTGTGAACTTGCCTGCCGTTGTTGGAACATCTGTGAAGTTCGTTTTTTCTGTGGTGCAGCCTCACTCTGCTGCTTTTTTTCATAATCTTCCTTCTGGATTGCTTATCTATTGCTAAAATCAGCATTAATGTTCTCTATCTTGTTGTATTCAAGTTGATCTCTCCCTATGAGTCCATTAATATTTACTTCAGTATTCAGGTACTCTGATTTAGGCCTCCATATAATTGAATCTGTTGCTTCTTTTAGTTGTATTGAGATAAATGTGTCACTTGTGTCTTTTTGTTCTGTTTATTTTAAAGTTTGGTTTATCTAACCTATGCATGGACAGTCCTATTCAAGAGTTTATCTTAGTTTACAAAATGCTATTACATTGGATATCATTTTTACCTTACAAAATGTAATCACTTTTGATATTATTTTTAAAGAATATCTTTTCCAGTCCTCCAATTTCAGTATCAAACTAAATTTTGTTTTGTTTTGTTTTGTTTTGTATATTTTCATTCATTCTATGTCTATTTTAAAGGGTTTTTTTGGAGAACTTAATACATTCATTTTTAAGATACATACAGATAGAAAAAAGCTTATTTCTGCCATTTTTTAGTAAAATTGTGCTTCTTTTGTTTCTTCCTCTAAGTCTTACTTTGATTAAATTATTTACTTTTGTGTATTTTGGGAAAGACTTTAATAAAAGATTTCCTACTATTTTGGGAAAGCCTTTAATAAAGACTTGACTAAGAGTTTCCATGACAGCTCCAACAGTTATCTAATAGTTATCTGCTAATTATAACCAATATTGCTGAAATGATAGAGGTCTAACATAGATCATTAACATAAAAGAAACAAGGAAATGAGACAAAGTACAACTCAAACATTTTACTCTTCCTCTCTCCTCTCTCACAGTTCATATTAACAAAATTGTCGTCTGCTGTCTATGTTTCCTGTCTCTTAATATATTAATGAAGTTATTATGCTTAATTGGAATTTACTAAAAAGCCTTTATAGTAAGAGTGTAAATGGTTTATGAAGCATGTTTAAGACATTTGATCTTTAAATTTTCCAGAGTGATTGTTGCCAGTGAGGGATATAAAGGAGCATGGCTACTGAGTAGTGTTCAGCAAATACTCCGGGTCATTCCAGGGAATCCGGTCAACCTCCTGGGCATCATACTCTGAAACAAATGTGATTTTCTCTCTCTCAGAGGCATTGCCAGCAGATCTTCAGCTGAGGCTGAAAGTTCTAGCACAACTTGCTCCTCTGTACTAAGATTTTGTCTGGCTCGAGCTTGCACAAGTATTGTGTGTGAACTGTGTGTTCATACATGAAATCCTCCATTGTGTCCAAAGAACAGTTTTTGGTTTTCATCCACCAACTCTGGCTCTAACAATCTTCTCATCTCTTTTTCTGCAATGATCATTGAGCCTTGGAGGACAGAGTATGATGCAGGCATGCCATTGAAGGCCAGACACTCCCATTCTTACTCTCAGTACATTGGCAAGCTTGTGTTGATTGAGCTCTGCTGCAAGAGGAAGCTTCTCTGGTGTGAACTGAGAGGCTCATTAATCCATGGTATTACAATAAGTTATCAAGAGTTGATTTACTATTATATCTATTTAGCAGAGTTAAGAGTAGTTAGTTTCCCTCACCTTCTGCCTAGCGACAGGCTCTTCACTCTGATAACAGTACCAGCTATGGACTCTATTTAGTAAAGTACACTTTAAATT